GTCGCGGAACACATCAATACTCCTGGTTTTCCGGGATTGGTTCAGACCGGTCGGCCACGGCATTTACAGTAGGTCTCTCTAAAACAAAAAGGAAGCCTGTGTTATATAAATAACTTAAAATATTTAATATCTTTACAGATGCACACAGCTGCAAGAAATCAGCCCATCGGCGATTCTAACAGTATTTCTTGTGGGCCCTCTGGCAGAAAACTCAGTATTTAATTGTCGAGTCGTGAATTTATTCGTCTCATAGGAAACATTATGAGACAATCCAGGCTGCTCCTTCTTCTACTAGCTACGTTTAGTACGCACTCGTTGTATGATAAGGATTAGTAGCACATAATTAAGCGTTTCCATGCACTTTCAAAATACTTTTCTTATTATTCCGGAAAGCTGACTGAGTGCAGGCCTTTCTCGCAGGAGAAAAGCAGTACACTCAGTCAGCTGACTGTACTTATGAGAAATTAATTTTGAAACGGCGTGGAAACGCTTAATTATGTGCACTGACAATGAATCAAACTAACCCTTGGCATACAACGCGAGGGAACTGAACGAACCCAGGAGACGAAGGAGCAGGCTGGATTGTTTCATAATGTTTCCTGCGAAATCTATGCGAGTCAATGGGTTCATGGCCTTATATGGCAGGCGGGATAGCGTATTATTGGCTTTTGCTCTGGGTCCCGCGACCTGTCAAACATATTGAGTGGGCGAGTGCGTATTTTGACAAACTGGCCTAACCGTGGGTGTACTGGAGCTATTCGTCAAGACTCGCTATTCTTATTGAATGTTTGTAGGCAATCGTGACTTAGCACGCGAAATGTCACGTGCATCACAAGTAAGCCCATTAACCGAGAAAGCACCTGCTCTGTGCATCAATGAGTTTGCAGTCTAGTAACTAATGTGCCTATTTATAAAGATGCGCCTTACCTTATAAAATCAGATAAATGAAGAATACTTACCTGTCCCACAAAAGCATGATGTAAAACAAATTGTTAAAGTCTTTCAAATAAGGCTTCGTTTTCAGGTGTAGCACAAACGGCATTTCGTGGAAAGACAAAAGCTCAGACAGCATAACCCATTCATGTACAATAAAATAAAGTACATTGCACAAGGACTCTGCTAAGGAATTCTAACTCTTTTTCTCAAGGGGACTTTTTCTCTCTTAAACTGGCCTTTTTCTCGAAACATCCTCCATCCAGTGAACGAAAATTGTGGACGGAGCAGAAGTCCCTGTACATCATGGAGCGCCATCCATTGTCAAGTGTGTGTGGCCATTAGTGGATAACAGTTCTCGTCAGAGAAAAGTTTGCAATTTTGTTTTTATACTGCTTTATGAATAACCATTGAGAACTGTTGGCTTCCTCCGTATTCATCTATTGGTACATACGCTTTAAGAAGTGGAGACGGTTGTATGAGAATATTTGTTAAACCTGTAGTGAGTAGCATTGCCATAAACAGAAG